GGCGTCAGGGGTCACGTACCGCGTCAGAGTCACGCAGGGGCCCCGCAGCGCTGGGCCCGGCGCTGGTGGGGTCACCTCTCGCCGCGGCTTCGGCGGCCGTGACTCTTCTTGTCCTGCCAACCACCACGTCAAGGCGACAGCTGCCACGTTTCCCGAGTTCTTTCCCCACTGTGAGTTGGGGTGTGGATAAAAAGTGCAACCAAGTAGCATCCGTCTACTGGCATTTAGCTACATTTGAAAATCTTTCAAGTTACTCAGGTGTACTCAAGATGCTCATTCGTAAATTAGACCGGCTATCTTTTGTAAAGCTTAATCAGTTAAAGTTGGAATTAATACGCGTTTTATACTAACTCAGGCCCTCAGGAGCTACTCTCTTCCTGCCTGGGGTAGAACGGGCCAGCGCTCCGAGGGCACCACCTATTACCCCGTTAGGCCTTTGGCCGCTCTCCGGGACAGCCGTGACTCGGTTGTCGGTCACCAGAGGGCGCAGAGATCCTCCGAGTCTCACTGCCGAAACGGGGGCTCGTGCGGGATCGACAGACAGGACACGTAGAAATGTTATTTAACCGATGCATGAGCCCCACCCAGGCCAGCACTGGTGTCCTTAGCCAACTTGTTTTGTAAGTACACTGCCTGGAAGTTATTTTATAACCAACAGTTACAAAACAGCCTCTTTACCATTTTCTGTGTTAAGAAGCACCTCTGTAAGAGGCAGGCTGTTCCAGAATGGAAGGGTTTCAATAAATCTGTCCTAAACTGTTTCTCTTACTCATCCTTGAAATAAAACAAGTGATTTACAAGCTTAATAAAGCAGTAAGAAATCAGTTACAGCAACAAACAAAACCCCATGCATTTTGTGGCACATAATCAAGCATTTTCTTAGAAAATTCTCAAGATTACAATGTTGAAAGTGCCTTGACTTGTATAGCAATTGTATTTTTCTCAAACAGGGAGACTGTAGCACAGCATTTCATGGGCACAACTCTCAACGAGTGACTGTTATGTACTCACAACTGCACAGTAATGGCCCCACTGGAAAAGATTGAGAGGGAAATTTCCCAGAAACAGGTTATTTCACACAGTGAAATTCCTAGCATCTTTCTGTAGTGTCAGAAAAAAAATCCTAGCTGGTCTGTGGAAAGACTCAGATTCAGTGAATATTCCTGTGCATTCTCATTTTTAGCACTGAATATCAAATAGAGACGCTATTATACAGAGAAGCTACTATTTAATGATAAACTACCAGTTTCTGTTAGTAGCAAATACTGAAGTGATAGCTGTCAAGAGAATAAATTTTTGCTGGAGAGACCTGTCTTGATCTTATTTGTCTTGACTGTTTCACCTCACAGGACTATTCCTAAACACTGTTAACATGCTAGTAATCTATCATATGTGCAAGGTTATTTCTGGAAGACTGCAAGTCAGTTTTAAATCCATTGTAGTCCCAATACCCACCAAGTGATTTTTGCAACTGGAGAATTTTGCAAAGGATGTTAAAAATGCTAAGCATTTGGAGAGGTCTCAGAATGCAACACATAGTTGTGGAAGATGGTGACCCTTAAATAGACATCAGCAATTCAGCAGATACCCATCTCCTATCCCTTTGGCTCTCTGTAGCCTCTCAGTTTTTTCTGTAAAACAAATGTTAACTACTAGAAGCAAAGAAAAATGACGTCTCCAAGATTAGGAGTAGATCTTAACAGTTCTTGCTCATATAAGCTTCACTTTATTTTAACAGTTTTGTTCAAGTAAGTTTCTGTATTTGAGTGATACCAAGGGCTGAATTACTTATAAACCTGACTTTTAAAAGGAATAATAAAATTATATATAATAAAGCCAGACTTTAGGAAAATAAAATGCTCATTTGTAACTGCAGAAGAAAAAGTTGCACACCCAAAACATTAGAATTCTTTACATTGGTGATGTTACATCTTGAGAATATTGTTTCCATTTTTATGACCAAGAATTTAATACTATAAAATTTGATATCTTTTCCCCTACATGTTGACAGAATCTGTCTAATAATTGAAATCAAAGAAGACACATTTCAGTTAACTCTGTCCAGTCCCAGGTACTACCAAGATGATCATTAAGGACTATAATGGACATCTACAAAAGACCACAAAAATCTGTGGAAACCTGTGGTGAGGTTACTTAGTCCATCTGTATTGTTCAGGAGCTGTTTGCTTATGCTATGTTAAATGCAACTGATGCATGAAATGGGCCTTGTGGTTATATGCTTCATATAGATTTTGGCAGGGCAATCTCCTTGGCATGACTAAGACTTAAATTTGCTCTCGGAATTCTGTATGAAAGTGCTCTGAGGTTCCAGTTAATTTATTTGCAGAACAAGTCATTATGATTTTGTATTTTCAGACCCATGTTTGCCAGCAGGAAGGTGTGAATTGTCCCCTTTAAGCAGCCTCATGAAATATCCATCATTTGGACTGAAAAGCATAAATGTTGGGAAATAACTCACAAACCAAACCTCACTTTATCTTCAGCATTACGTCCAGATCATTTATGTACTCCATAATGGCTACCAAAACCCCAGATTGTCAAACCTACTCAGGCTTAGACAACTGTGGCTTTAGCTTTCTGTAAGAAAAATAGAGGTATTGTGTCACCTTAGAAAAGCAAACACTATCCTGGTTCAGAGCCCTAATCCCAGAGATCAACTAGACCACTCTGCAGTACAACATGTCACTAAATTCTAAATTGCAAAGTGTTTGGTGACAATGGCAGTGATTCAAGCTGCATTTCTGAATGACATGAATACAAGTCAGAAATGGATCACCACAACCAAATTTTACTGTGCCAAGATTGCTGATGACTGAAACAGTGAAGAGTAATGCAGAAAGTTCCATATTTAACTGCTGCACTTCCTTGCAACAGGCAGGATATGAGCTCTGGTTGCTTACCCTGCTTCATGTACTACAGCACTTCACACTTTTCAGATTACAACTGAGGCAAGTTTACTACTTCATACACTTAAGAAAAATATATTTGGTAGTGTATTTTTTTCTGCTGTCATATTCCAAAATATAACTAACATTAAAATGATACTGCTCCAGTCCCTTGATTTGAAATGAAAAGTTTTGATGTGTGTGAAATACTGGTATTCACATGCAGTATTAATGGAAACGATTCAAAGGTCTTGCTCTTTTCTTGAGCTGGAAAAACATGTTCCCACTCCCATTGTCAGTCTGGCAACTGTACTGGCAGAAAACTGGCATTATCGATGTTTTCTTTTCCAGACATTCCTCTTCAATTACTTTCATTATACAATTCGTAATGACTACCCCCATCTATAAACACTCTTTCACCATCAGCAGTCAATTCCATATTATGAGGCTGTTATTACTTGGCTGTACTGTCCTGTATGTACTTCTTAAAAAAGCCTTCATTGGACAGCAAAGCTTTTTCCAGTGCTTCCAGAATCACTGGATATTTTAGTTGTTGCTAAACAGTGTTTATACTAGGTCAAGGGCTTTTCAGCTTTTCATACTGCCCTGCCAGTGGAGGCTGGGAGAGGACACGGCAAGGGCAGCTGACCCAAATGAGCCAGAAGGCTATTCCACAGCATATGCCATCACACCCAGTATATAAACTGGGGGGAGTTTGGCAGAGGGCACTATGGCTCGGGGATCAGCTGGGCATCAGTCAGTGGGTGGTGAGCAATTGTGTTGTCCACGACTTGTTCTGTATATTCCTTTTCTGTCCTATTAATCTGTTTTTATCTCAGCCCATGAGTTTTATTTTTATTTTCCCCTGATTCTCCCGCCCCATCCCATGGTGAGGGGGAAAGGTAGCAAGTGGCTGTGTGGTGCTTAATTGCCATCTGAGGTTAAACCATGACACTAGGTCAGGACAGAGTTCAAACTATATCATGGATTAGCATTCAAGTGCTTCAGTGCATCGCTTTCTCTCAGCAGAGAAACATAGATGGAATAAAAATACTTCCTCTTCAGTACTTAAAATGTGGTTTTATCAAAATAACCAGCATTCTTTACCATTTTTTTTTCTCTTCTGCATGGCATTAGCAGTTCCACTGCTGATGTTGAGTCCTAACAGCTGCTTCCCACTGCTTCAGCAAGCTGGTCTTCCACTCCAAACCCTTCACCTTCTTCATAACAGATGTAGTCCCAAATTCCTTGTCACAGCTGAGGTCTGGACTCATCATTTGACCCAGGACAGAGGGAAGGGACAGGAATGTAGCAAACAGCATTTAAGACCACTGAGCTCTATACTGTCTTAAAGCTACCCGCCTCATTCAAGGTAGCTGCACTGTCAGACTGCACTCTACACAACTGATTTCTCAACTTCTGTCAAAGCTGTTTAAGCTGGCTGGAACAGATGCCATCTGAGGTCAGTTACTCCCATTCTTGAGCTGCTACTCATGTTGCTCTGGAACAGCTGTTCATATGGCCAGGATGAGCGCTGTAAGGGAACAATGCAGCTTAATTTCTGTTTTCTGCACAGTGAATCATAAATGGAACTGAAAAAAATCTCAGAAAGGTGGCAAGAACAAGTGGTCAGGGCGGATTAAGCCAATGCTGTGTACTCCCCAGAATGCCTACTGGAACCATAGCCTGGTTTTGACAGTTTTCTAAGTTCAGTGCATTTGGTTTTCATCCACTAACAAACACTGACTTGGTATTTCTTAGTATCATGCAATTTTGTTCAACACAAAATAAAACAGGTCAGTGTAAGAAAACCAAATGCCTGTATTTGTCTCTATACTTTATCAGTCAACCAGGAGAGACTTTTTTTTCTGTCCTTTAGTATTTAGGGCTCTTCCTCGCTTACCTTGAAGAAAAATCAGATTCTAGAAATAGCTAACATATCCCCTTTCCCTAATCTCCCATGTTCTGGTGAAAATGGCTGTCAAGTTGCACGTGAAATGCAAATAAAAATTTTTACAGATTATAATTTTATATCCTGAGACTAATACCTATCATCCCCTCAGAAGTAGCAGTAAACATAAACTTTCAGAGAAAAGATGCAAGTATATATATATTTTTTTTATTAAGAAATAAGGTTGAATCGATTCATGTCTTCTGTGTGGAAAAACCACAAGAGGGGGCTAGATTTCCATGAGGTTCTCCACGTGAAGACCTGTTGCTTGTTACTCCCTCGGAGGGAAAGGACTCACCGTCTCACAAGCAAACTCACCTCGAAGTCCACATCTCAGCATTGCTACATGAAAGAGGACAAGATCCCTACTCTGATTTCTGAGTCCCAGCAGCAACCACTCTCAAAGGGCTACCCACCCCTAAATCCAGAGAACATTTTTCTGCAGAAATAAATTATTCCCCTGCTTCCATGTTAAAATGTGATCTAGAGAGAAAATCCTTGCTGGAAACCAGAAAGATGCATTCAGGCCCTTTTTTTCACTTCTTAAAAAATATTAATGAAAACTCAACATAAAAGCAATGAAACATCCCCAAATAATAAGAATAAAAAAGGTCCCTTTTATGTCCTAATTAAGCCTGGTTAATTTGTCAGAAACTTAAACCTACAAAAAAGACCTGATGTACTGCTGCACCACTTTACTGATATTACTGGCTGCTCCTGCATGACTTCAGCAGCAGAAAAATGGAGGAGACAGGAATGTATGGCCACAAACAGTCCTGACAACAGCATGATCTTAGACAGTTTAAATGATTTCTGAAAGTATAGCCTAAGTGGCCCTGAACATACACACCACAGTATTTTACACCACAGGAAAGTGCTATCCCTCTGACATGCTAGTGGTCTATTCTCACCTTCTGCTAGTGAAAAGATAAAAGGGTCTGTAATTGGCCATCTGATCTCTGACATAGGTAACCTACAATGATAATAAACATATACATCCAAAAATCCATTGCTTCTGTCAGTGCCTTCCCAAAAGGACTGAAACCCCCCCGAAGTTTTCACATAACATGTATATAAATAGCAATCTTCTAGCATCTTTGTATGCTCACCTTCAAGATTTGTCTTCATCACGAGGACAAGTGAAATACAGGCAGCAGGAATCCTGTGAGACTTTAAAGATACAGAACATCTGGCTGCCTGGCCAGAAAGTTTCCAAATCACTTTTTAATGCCAGGAATTTAATTCACATGTAAACCTATGGAATGGAAATAAAGGTCAGAGAAGTCAGTTGCTCATGGGGCAATATCAAACCCTATGTACTATTGCTCATGTCCGTGTCATTGCCGAAGTGAAATGCACAGAGTGAAAAACACAACACAGAAGTTTGTCTCAGACAGCTTTTCTTATCTTTTGGGAGAAAACAGATGACACAAAAGGCAGAGTGTATAATGGGAATTATTCATTCTCAGTTGCCATATTCTATTTTCTGTATCATAAAAAAAGGGAGATATACTTTCTTCCTTCTTATGACTAAACCCAATAAGGTACTAACTCTTTTCCACAGATTTAAATGCATATTCAGAATTTGTTTTCCAATATTGAAATATTGATTGCATAAAAGGATTCTTCCTGAAGTTTCTTAACTACATATTCTTTTTCTGCTGCTCAAATCTTTCACATATATATGTATGCATGCACAACTGTTGTACAAAGGCCCTAGTGAAAAAGTGCTGTTGATCTCTAGCATGGTGATACAGGGACCTTAAAAAAAAAAAAATATTGCAAATCTATTTCCTGTTTCAAAATTATGCTCATTTCCTTCTCAGACACATTTAAAACAGTCCGGCTCGCAAAATAATTTCTGAGCTTTAAAATAACGTATGATCTTTTGAAAACCATCTGAGATTTGTTTGAGGTCTCCATACTGGTGTTTCCACTTAATAAAGCAGTAAAATTACTACCTCATCAGCATTATTTACCAGGTTGCATAAATTACTTCAACACTGGACAATTATAATGAATGTGGTTTGGTCATGTTTTGCTCAGTCAGTGAATCCCTCTGTAAGGGTGATGGGAAATGAACAGAAGAGCAGCACATCCTTCTCTCACAAGGCTGCAGATCCCTCTGTCAGCTTTCTATCATCTACAATGATTGGCTGCATTTTGGACAGGTACCTGCCCCACAGAAAAGGCAAAGTTTAGAAGTAAGTCACATGCACTTCCTTTGCTCACACATCATTAACACATTTGCTCTGCTCACTATCTCCACGAAGAGTTGAATATACAAATCATAGCACTTTGCTGTCCATGCCACTAAGTTTACATCAAGAAATCTAGAAGGGGTAAAAATTACATTTAATGAACTCACAGATACTTACTCATGCAAATTTAGGTGTCAAGAACCTGCTGTGAAAAAATATTATAAATTCCGACAAATCAACAGATGGGTAATTTTTAGCAAATAGTTTTAAAAATGTAGCTCTAAAAGTGTATATGGCAAGTATGTAGCTATTAGGAACAGGGAACTTTTGAGTACTAACATAGCAGTACTTCAAAAAGCCTTCTGAAAATCTAATGAGGCAGAAAGTTGAAATTATTTCAGTGAATGAGTAGTGTCAATGGTCTTACATTATCCATGCTAAAAAGCATTCAGAGCACCTTGATTAGGTTTGTAATCATAGCTGAAAAATGCAGCTATTTTCTCTTTCTTCTATAATCTTTTTGTTCTTTGTAATCATAAAGCTAAAATCATATTCAACTTTGTTTAGCATAAGGCTGGCCTGATCCACTGCTAAATAGCAGGCAAAACCATTTTGCGTTTTCATTTGAACAAATTATCTGAATCTTCTCTATCCAGTCAAGCCTGTGCTACCAAGGTGATACTTTTTTTAACAATATTCTGAAGCACTCAACTTGAATGCATTGTTTGATATTGTTTTTAAAGAAACGGCCTTTTTTTTTTTTTTTTTTTCCTATTCAGAAGCATCTGATTCCTGCATCAAAGGACTGTCTTAAGCTAAAATAAACACCACTCACCATCAGTGGAAGATGCTGGGTTACACGTGTTGTCTATGTATTCCACTATACATCATGCCACATGTACTCAAGAACAGTCTTTTAGACAATTTCCAGAAGTCCTCATCTATGATGAAGTAGCTTTTCTTTCCTTTGCAGATGCTTGTCACTACATACGCAATTCTACTACATAACTTCCAGTGACGTGATTTAAATAAAGCATATAAAATGTCTCAGGTAAAGACAGACTGAGATTTTAAAACAGAAAAACCTGAGAAAAATCCAGAGTGCAAGCTTCTACTAAAGTATACAGTTGTAGACCTGTGCATTAAATGTCAGATAACAGTGTTTGGTGCTTTAACTATGGAAACAGTGAAGTATGCCTAGGGTAGCATTCATCAAATGTAATTTAGTAAGGTCTTAACAGAAGGTGATGCTTATTTCAAAAAGATTTGAAGTAGTCTTTGGTGGAAGAGAGAATGGCCTCTTTGTCTTGACCATGGAATTGACTTTTCTTGGAGAAGCTCTGAAAGGCAGATTGCAGTCAGAAACTATGTATGAAAGAGATGTACAGAAGATAATAAGTCTTTCATCAGGTTCTGCCCTGGGTCTCCCATACTACCCACAAAGGGAATGACACACTCCAGAGAACCCATTTTTAAATTTACAGGATATTCTGACCAAATGTCACAGGATCAGTAAGCAAATGCATCTACTATTTCACTCACACTCTAAGTCATTCTTAATAAGTAAAAAGTGAAAAATTTGTGATAACATCTTCAGAAACCTGTGGCCATCTGACTGTGAAATAATAGCATAGTATATGACCTGCTAATTGATGATGCTTCTACACTGCTGCTAAAGCACACTAATTTGTAGCTAATTGAAGCTAAGTACATCAAGAAGAGATTAAGTTTTTGTATCTAGCATTTAAGGTCACTCCCTTTCCTAAATAACCTTGAAAAAAACACCAGTGTCCTCCCCCCACCCCCTCAAAAAAAAAAAACAAAAAAAAACCTCAGACATTATCTTTGCTTCAGAACATTTAGTTTAAATTAGAGTCTATTAAAAATGTGCATTTAATAGAATGATCTGGCAGTAGCCTTGGAACAAACATTTGATTTTCAGATCCCTTTTAATTTATTTTTTTGCCATATAATGTCCAAAGAGGCTTAAAGCTACACACCTTCAGAGTCCTGTTGCCTCAGATACAAAACTGGCTAAATATCTTCCTTATCAAGCATGTGATACATCTACTGCAGTTGTGAAACATGCTGCCTAACATTGTCTACACTAACTAGGCACTAATGTCGTTTGTATAATTTGAATGCAAATAATTATTTTTCTTATCAGCTTTCTCCCCCACTTGACAACATACAAAATATAAAAACCAAATGTACGCACAATCACACACAGCTGGCCATCTCATTGCCTCAGCATTATCATACTGATTACTCTTAAGGTTAGGTCTTCCACCTGCTATCTGCGGCGGTTTGTTTTAACATACTCAAATTGCCACAGTGAAATGATACACCATATTGTACAGGTGCAACTTGTATTTATGATTTGCAGCAGAGGTCTTAAACAGGTAGTATATGGTCCTTAAATGGCTTTTGGCTAGTGAATGCTTTGGGTTTAATTTAAAAACTGACTCAAAATTTGTAACAAGGTATGTGCTGTATGACTCATTAGAATCATGAATTTTGACTTCTTTTTTTTTTTTTTTAATTGTGCTATTTCCTTGACTGCTATAGTTCAGGGAGTTTGATTATGGCTAAACAAACAGTTCCATCTTTTCTGTGTCATTAGTGGGAGCAGCAGCTGCCACCGGGTGTTTGACTTAAGTGCAGATACACGGCAGTGTACAGTTCATGGATGCAATATGACTATTCTGTTGTCTGGGAAACAGTCTCTTAAACTCTGCATAATATGACAGTTACCAGCCAGATAATGTTTTTTCTTTCAAGCATCACAAATGTGCATGTGATCAAGTAGGCAGATGATAATCACATGTTATCACCCACAACTCATGAGCAAGCACAGTAACAGCACAATTAAAGACAAAACCACATATTTTAAAATACTTTGAAATTGATGATGATTTTGTGTTGTTTGGAAATAATAATGCTTCTCCCCTACATCTGATCCTTGCTTAATTCTAAAGATGACAACATTTCTTATAAAAACACACCATGCTATCAAGTGTTTGCTGAATGCAACTTTCTGATGCAAAACCTTGAAGAACCAGTGATGACAGGTAGTGGTCATAACACATTACATGTTAAATCACAAACATAACTCATGGTCTTCAAGCCTTGCTCCTGTATCCAAAATTTATATAAAGCCCTTTGTTTCAGAAATCTTGTACTTGATCAGCTATATTTTGACATGGTTTAAAGAAACCGCCTGGAAATAAAAGTTGAGAATTCTTCATACACAAACTACTGCATGAAAGTGGGTACTTAGTCATCAATGCTGACATCTTAACTATCACAGAGACAATTATCCGATCAATTATAAATCAAACAGTCTTGAGACACCTCTAGCTTACATCTGTCAGTGACTGACCACAGAGCTATGATGAAGGCAAGCCATAAATAATTTTTGTTCAAAGCTTTATGGGACAGAGAACAGGTAGATCTGGGGTTTAAGTCTATTTATTCTGTTTTTAGCATTGGGACTGTATTTGCCACCTCTCTCAGAGGGGGAGGATCCAGTCTCAGCAACCAAGAGCACAAGATCTTATCTTGGGGACTACCGTCCTTGAATCTTTAACAGTAACAGCAACTTAAGGCTCAGTTCCAACCTTCTCAGCTGAGCTTGACAGTAGTAATTCCCAACTCCAAGCTGAGAAGACATCATGGTGTTTGGATGGAACTGACAATCCACAGAGAAAGAGCTAGCCTGAAAGTCAAAAATTGCACCAGAAAATGGCCCTTCTCCTTCTGGGGATGAGGCACTCCAACAGTTTAAAAGTTATCTTATCAGGACAGTGGTAGTTTCTGGTTTGTAGCTTCACCAAAACTACATATCTTTTCCAAGTAGTCTTCTGAGGGTTTTTCATGAGTTTACTTCACCCAACCTAAGGGATAAATGATTAAAAGAAAAACAAATTTAAAAATATTATCAAATAGGAGAGTCTAAGATGGAAACAATGCAAGTATCTTCTGTGCAAATAAAGTAATAGCATACTTTTCATGTACAGTTGGGACAAAAGTATTTTCTTTCATGGTATTCTCTAATAACATTTTAAACTAATAAACAGATTCCATAAAATCTTCATTACTGTAACAATAATAGATTTCCATTTAGGAAAAATCAAAATCAAAGGTAACAAGACGGTGTGATCAAAATGACATGGCAGAGTCCAGCTAGATAAAATCCCTGAACCTGCACTGTGCTGTAACCACTATCTGACAGTACAGGTTATGGACTTTTTAAATATACTTAACTGTAAAATATTATAGCACTTAAAGAAAATTAAAGGAATATGTAGGAAAACATAATCTTGGAAGTCCACTACATTCTTTAGAACTTCCTGATCCAAAGCCAAACACATTTATACAACAACTTAAAGAGGATCTAAGAATTTAGTAAGTATTACAAGAACATAAGAGCTGTTAAAAATAGATATACAGAACTACTTGAAGTGTTGCACCTTGTGAGGAATACCAAGTTAGTGTCATCACACCCTTAACTCCTGTGCATGTAGTATCCCTGCAAAATCATACACTTATTTTTCTCCATACTGTCACACCTCACTCTGTACCAAGGATGGGAAGTGCTCAGTGCACGTGACAGTTCTCAGATACCAAATTTAGGCACGGAAACTTGGGATTCTTTTAGGTCTTTCCTCACCCCCATTATTGTTATTGTGCAGCTTCATTAGTGGTAGTCAGTTAGAGAGCACTTTGGGAGACAAAAGCTTTTGCATCATTGTACTGCCTATACTTAAATTGATGATGAAACTAAGCTGTCTGCAATTTAAGTGTTTCAGCAAAAGCAATAATTAAAGGACTAAACAACATGTATAAATGAAAAAAAATGTTAAATTCAAAGCACTGCGAAAGCATCAAACTTACCATAGTATGATTAAGCCAACTTGGATTAAAGCCACCCATCTATCTCTTCAGGATATATATATGTTCTCTGTTATATGCGTATAAAGTCCAAAATGTTAACAGTCACAAACTGAAGTTAAAAATATTTTTTAAAGGTATAAATATTTGCAAAAAGTAGTTTTAACAATGACTAGTGTTTTCACAAAACAACCATTTAAAATGTAATTTTTCATATCTAGTTCTTGCATAGTGTACACTAAAGCACTTTCTCACTAGGTGCCTCTGTTTTTTTCTTTAAACTTGTGTCACTGAAGAACTACTTCAAGTTGCTGCACAAGTAAATAATATTAATAGAAGTTCTATTGGACTAAATCAATAGGATATACATTGTTTTTCCATCAGATTAATGACTACTAAGATGGCAAAATTGGAGTTTGACCTTCTTGGTTAGTGTTGATGTATGGTTTTTCATGCTCAGAAATAAGAATAGTTTTTATATACAATTTCTACTGGTAACAAATTCTGAGCATACAGCAGCTCACTGAAATACATAAAATACTGTAAATCGGTAATTATTAGAAATTAAGGTCTATAAAAAGGTAAGATGAAGAGTATGGGAGCTACAGCTCCCATCTTTTAATCAAGATATGCATAGTATGTATCTTCTAAGTAAGGGGCTCCCAAATGTACAGTGGTATGAGTATCATAGGAACAGAACAAACAAATACTGTCTGAACAGCTGAACACTCCCCTGAGCATATGGACTCAAACAGGGACTGATGCTGCCAGATACATTAGCAATGAAAGCAGCAGGCAAGGCGAGTTCTAAGTAAAACTATGATATAAAAAAAAACCTCCACAAAGCTTCATTAAACACAGAACTTGGAGACAACCCAGTATCAGAAGCAACTAAAACTTATTTAATTTGGTTATTCCAAAACCAGTGTTTGTTCCTTTTATAAACGTGTATTTTAGTGTGTCACATACATCTTACTCTTTG